ACCATCCCTCTCTTTAATTAACCAAACTCACCCAAAAACCCTACCACTTATCAAAGACCATCGCCCTCAAACACTCTCCTCTCATCTCACGCCAAACCCTAACTGCCTCACTCCAAATCCCGGTCCGTATCCAAGAAAATATGAAAATCTCCCATATTTCCTTTCCTTTTTCTGTACTCACAACATTTCTTTCCTTTTTTCTTGACACTACTCCTTTGGTATGGAGTTATTTAAGGAAACCGGTATTTGGGAGGTTTCTTTGGCTCAGATTCTTGATTGTTACCATATTCTCAACCTGATAAATTCACCACCAGGCTATATGAGACTGATTTGACAAGATTCTTCGGCCAATTTGTGATTCCGGGCAAAACTAGGGTTTGCCTAATTTTTTTCCTAATTTGGTTCTAAATCGATTCTGCATGCTCTTCTTTCCTTATTTATGTTTGATTGACTATGTTTCCTTGTTTGGATGTTCAATTTTTTCTACTATATAACCCTTCCCCAATTTCTCTTTTGGAGACATTATTACTGCTATTACTCTCACTCGTACTACTATTCTAAGTTCGACACCTTGGCCGGCTCAAAGCCAAAGCCACCGGAATTTAACTGTTGTTCTTTTCTCGGTGCGAGCATTGCTCGGGGTTCACTTGAAACTCGTGGGAACTCTAACACACTCGGATTTTGGGAGTCCTGTTGTTCCTTCTCTATTACTGCTGACTAAACTACCATTGGCACTCGATTTTTCCTTTACTTCCCTATTAATCTGCAGCTGGTTAGTGTTCCTCGCTCTTACAATTTTAACTATTTCCATTCTGTTTGTCTATATCATGTGTGTTATGTGTACCAATATCGTTTGAACTTTCATGAGTAAGCATGACTCAGTTTCCTTGCTATTTGTGAACCCCCCAACACTGTATTGTGGTAGGCTTTATTGTAATCCTATTATCTTAACGATGTCCTATAGTTTTATGTTCTCTAGTATCGAACTTGATAGGCCTCAACATATATATTGTACTCTCATTATGTGTATTTGACTCGAATGAATTCTGGATTTCTTAAGCGTTACCTGACTTTAGAGTTAACCTTCAATTTTGTATAGTTTCATCTTCCATGAGTCCCTGTATCACCTTAGAGTTTTTAGCCTTCTTGAGATGATTGATGTTTACCTAAATTTGAATGTGTTAAGTCTCTCACATTTGAACTAAGTGGGTGTTTGTAAGTCGATTTGGACTATGCCTACTAGTCTGCCTACTTTTAAGAAGTCTTGTTTGATTACCAATTAGTTGTGACTATGCCTTCTTTATATCTCACACTTGGTACAATCATGAACAAGCTGATAACTTTCCTTAGAATTAATCCATGATCGTATGAGTTATTGCATGCCAATACTGTTTAAAGTTTTCAGACCAAGCATGACTTATACCTTTAGTGAACCCCAACAAAGTTTTAATTGTTCTATGTTATTGTAATTCTGTTATCATGATGAAATTCTGTCATGCTAGTGTTAAATTTACTAGAGTCTAATGCCTTTAGGTAATCCTGGATGTACAACTAAACTTATCATACATGATCAACCTGCAAAATCTCTAGTTTCTTTAGAATTAAACGAATACCTTCTAGTTACTCTGTCACCCTATGGAACTGTGTCTATATAATTATTTTGTAGGACTAGTTTCAAGCATGTCTTACATTAGACCCTCATGGTAAACTTTCTATATGTGAATTCCTATTGAATCAGTTCTGTACCATGTTTGTTTTAAACCCCTATCTATTGAAATCTCTTTGCGAGTTTTTGTTTTATTCTTATTCATGTGCGTCTTTACCTCTGGGATATCATGTTTAACAACTCCAGTTTCTTCATTAGCTATAACACCTAAGTATTCCCCTGTGTATACGTCTATATCTTAAGTTATTTGAGTAATTAGTTTGTGTGGGCTGTTACTTGTGGCATTTGTTGTTGGTTACTGGGTAAACAAGACAATTGTCTTCGCGTTTGGGCCTGGTTTGATGGGCCATATGTGTTGTTGGACCTGGGTACTGGATTCAGGCACATTCTAGTTATCCTTGTGAGCTTGGGATTTGGGTATGCTGGTTGTCCGGAGAGCAAGACTGTTGAAGGCCCAGAAAGTCAGAGGATTTCTTTGTGTGGGGCTTTTAGTTGTCCTATTGGGCTTATGACTGTTTTATTCTATTTGCATTATTTATTTGTCCTGTAATAATTTGTAATAACGAATAATGGGGAGATTAGTAAAAGAGGGGCTGGGGTATTCTAATACTAGCATAAAAAGGGTAGAAAATATGCCTATAGGGTTTATGTGTTCTATTTGCTATTACGTCCAGCATGCCTTACCCGTTGTTTTGTTTAGTGTATGTTGCACTAATAGGAACCATGCCTATAGGAATCACGTACACACTTCATTTAACTCGTCAAAATATGCTACACTTGTTTCTATGTCTACTATTCAATGCTTTTAGATTATATGCCTATAGGATACAATAATGCAATACTTTCGCTAATCTAAATACCATGACTATAAGGTTTAATAATTGATCAACTGCTTCATGTTGCTTTTGCACTGCCTCACTTAAATAGCATACCTATAGGGATAACATGTTATAAAATCAAGTCTAATTGTCAATTGTTAGAAATCCTGACTATAGGATACGATTATATGCCTAGAAATCCTGTTTATAAATCAAGCGCTATTAATTCTGAGCTTTCAAACAGTTTCACTGCCTCATTGCACAAACAATTTAGAGATCATGCCTATAGGATTTGTAATACCTATAATCTGCGGATTCATTAGTCTGAAACAACAACGCTGCTTGTACGATACTGGAATTCAGAATCACCAAGAGGCCATGCCTATAGGACTTAATGACTCTAAGTCTTAACTCTGAAATTGTCTATTGCTTAATATAAGAATCTGATCGCATGCTTTTGTGCCTATGTGTAGAGGTCAACTTGAGCCTTTCATTGCAATTGTGTGCAATCCTATCTGTTTTGAATGTCGCCTAATTTTATCATTTTGAGCAACCTAAGTAAAGTCTAGAACCACCTAATAGTAGGTCCAAAGCCTCATATACCATAGGTATGGGACGGGTAGTGCACGCATAGGATACCTTTAGAATTGAATTAGAGCGCCTTTAAGTAATAACTTCAACACAGTAATCGGGTAGCAGGAGAGTTATTTGCAAATAGGTACCCTAACGCACCTTAAAAATTATTAGGTGGTGATTCTTCTCTTTTAATACCCATTTAAAAGAGTTGTCACATGTCGAAACCCGCCTTCGCGAGAAAAAAGGGCGCGATAATACCTCTACTCAAATATTTGAATTACTATATATTGACATATAGGGTCCCTACCATGTCACTACTCATGATAACTACAAGTTCTTTATCATATTAGTGAATGATTTCAGTAGGTCCACTTGGACACATTTACTAAGCAGTAAGATCAATGCTCTACAAGCCCTTAAAGCCTTTATAACCATGATTGAAAACCAATTCAATACTTCTGTAAAGACTATCAGATCTAACAATGGGTTGGAGTTTACCAGTCATGAAGCTACCACATTTTATCAATCCAAAGGCATCATTCATCAGAAAACCTGCCCCTACACACAACAACAAAATGGGGTAGTAAAGAGAAACCACAAATATCTCCTAGAAACTACTAGGGCACTTAAGTTTCAGTCCAAATTACCAACTAGATATTAGGGAAAATGCATTCTGACAGCCACCTACTTAATTAACAGATAACCTACTACCTACCTAAACAACAAATGACCTTTTGAACTTTTGTAACACAAGAAACCCAATTACTCTCATTTGAGTAGCTTTGGTTGCCTTTGTTACCCTACTATACCTAAGGTGCACAGGGATAAATTTGAGCCAGAACAACTCCTCATGTCTTCATAGGCTATCCTTTTGGGACAAAGGGTTACAAAGTACTAAGCCTAGCCACTAGGAATATACATATCTCTAGAGATGTGATGTTTTATGAAAATATCTTTCCCTTTACTCTAACTCCTAAGAATATTTTCCCATATAATGTCTTCAAATCAGTCACCTTTCCTACTTATATTGAGAGTGAAAGTCCACTTCCTGGTGTTCAAAGTGCTGTAGATATCACATCTTCAGGTGTGCATCAACACCCTGAGTTCTCTCCTATTAATGACACTTTAACACACACACCTAACATCTCATTCCCTTATGACTCTGTCCTTGCATCTTCATATGAAGTTGCTAGTCATTATTCACCCACATCTACTCAATCAGAAACAACTATAATCAGGAAGTTCAACAGAACACACAAAAATCCTACTTACCTCAAAGATTATATTTGTACCCTTCCTAACAGAACTCAACCTGCTACCTCTCAATGCTCACCTTCTTTAAATGCACTTTTCTCTAATCATAATCACATCACCCCTGATGATCTATGTTCTGAAAGTCAGCACTTAGTGATAAATGTTAGCCATGATAGTGAGCCATCCTCTTATGGAGAGGCAACACTTAATCCTGCATGGCAAGCAGCCATGACACAAGAATTTGAAGCTCTTCATGCCAATCATACTTGGGACTTAGTACCTTTGCCAGTTGGAAAATAGGTAATAGGCTGTAAATGGGTTTATAAAGTCAAGCATAAAGAAGATGGAAGCATTGAGAGATTTAAGGATAGACTAGTGGTGAAAGGTTACACTCAATAAGCAGGGATTGACTATATAGAGATATTTTCCCCTATTGTCAAGATGACAATATTTAGAGCCTTGGTTACTGTTGCTGTGAAGAAGGGCTGGGATATATTCCAACTTGATGTAAACAATGCATTCCTTCATGTGACCTATATGAAGAAGTATATATGGAGGTGCCACCAGGTCTTCTGATTGATCAGTCTAGCTCACACAGGATGGTTTGCAAGCTAAACAAGTCTTTGTATGGACTGAAACAAGCCAGCAGGTAGTGGTATGCCAAGCTAACTGAAGCCTTGTCATCAATGGGGTACAAACATTCTGAGAATGAATATTCACTATTCTCCAAAAAGACCTCATCCTCCAGTATCTTTATAGCTGTGTATGTTGATGATGTTATCATTACTGGTACCGATTCAGTGGAGATAGCCAACTTGAAGGCATTCCTTGATAACCAGTTTAGGATCAAAGTCCTAGAGAGATTTCACTACTTCTTAGGCTTAGAAGTTCTTTACAAGCCAGATGGTATTATCATTTCTCAAAGGAAGTTCACCTTAGACTTGTTAAAGGAGTATGATTATTTTGCCTATAGCAACTTATCTTCCCCTCTTGATCCTGCTCTGAAATTAAAAGCCAATGAAGGCACTCTTCTGCCAGATCCCATATATTACAAAAAACTAGTGGGCAAACTGAATTTCTTAACCAACACCAGACTAGATATAGGATACAGTGGACATCTCCTCAGTCAATTTATACAAGCACCAGAGATACACACTTGACTGCAGCTTTCTATCATCTCAAATATCTTAGAAGTCTAACAGAGATGGGCTTGGCTTGAGCCCAATGTGTAATAAACCAAAACTTGAAATGAACAGCCCATATATGCTGTATCTAGTTCTCTATTACGTGGGATGGAAATGCTGGCCCATCATACAAGGCCCCAAAACTGGGCCACTCATCATTAAGCCCAAAGGTAAAACATATTCATGCCTGAATTTAACTAACTAAGATATAAAGCAATTTATACATTAGTTCATATACATATAAGCACATTATGAATAATTACTCGAGGGAATTACCAGAACACATGCTCTAGAATGCCTCTAATATTTTCGATCATTCAAGCACCTTCACACAGATCAATATCAAAATGAATTTTACAAGTCCAAACATCTGCTTATCCTAGTGATGTGTGTAAATCTAATTACAAGAGTGGCCCTAAATGAATATTACAATAATAACTTCTTTGAAAAATCATCTCTCTAAATTATTAAACTCCTCTAAACGAACTACTAAAGATAATACAAATGTTTGCCAAAACAGTTCATAGCTTAGGGCATTAGAATAACAATTTCTTCTACCTGAAGTCATTTTTGTTCCTGTTTCGCACATATTTCAAATTGACAGCATATAAGGATACATTCAACTCACAATCATTAGATTTCAACAAACACATCATGTATCCAATGAAGAATGACAAGATTATGAACTAATTTGACACCAATTCAAGTAGCATAAGCAACCAGATCAGGTGGAATGAAAATCATCAATCCAAATGACACAGTCAGGATTCAATTATGAACAAACTTGAATATACATGTTGAGATGAGTACCTAGCTGTGCGAAATTAAACCAGAGGACACCAAATAAAGGCTGAAGGAAAAAAATTTGGGGATCAACAAGCAAGTTCAGTCAATAACAAACGAATATCACTTTCGAACTCAGAATATTTCCCTAAACTTCCTAGAAATATGCAGCAATGAAGAGAAATTGAAAGCAACTTCTGAATCTTTTTTTTTTTGGTTATTTTTTTTTTAATTTTTGGAGTTAAGTTCTTCAGATCTGAAAATTTTTATTCTCAAATTTCAGACCTCCTTCTAAACGTGAGAGAGAGTGTGAGTGAATGAGAGTGTATTATAAAATGCAGAATGAATCAGTGAGAAAGAGTCTGTGAAATATGCGTCTAATATGTGTCTAATGTGTGTGAGGGGAGGGCATCTTTTATAACAGATTTTCTAGCTGTACATTCTGTTATTCCCTTTCTTTTTTACCCCTTCTTTTTCTGTTATTTTCTCCTGAATCCCTCAAGTACCCGACCACTCTTTCTTTTATTTGCTAAACAAGTCCTCCCAGCTATATCTTTTTCTCTACTACCCTCTTCACCTTAACCCTAAATTCAAATCCAATGGATTTACTATCAATAAGACAGACCCACTTCCCCTTGAATTCAAGTAAAATCAACATTCTCGAACAATCAACAAAATAGCCAAATCAAATCAAGCTCAAAACCAACTAGGCAATTTTATCAATTAAACCTAATTAATAATGTACTCAACTAAATTAGAAATTAATTAGCTTATGAAACCATGTGATTAAGCAGGATTCTACAATGACAGGATCATTTTCAAGTTTCAACAGTCATTGGCCTAACCAAACACATCAGCATACAATTGAGGATAAAAGAGCGAAAAAGAAAAAGAAGGTATACCTAATGAGCTCAAAGAAAACGACAAAGGGGATCTCCAGACGACTCCGACAGGTCAAACACCGGTTGACCAAAATTTGACAATTAAAAAAGGACCAAATCTTACATCAATTTCAAGAGCTATCCATTGATGTAAATTTCAACTGTAATCGTGGCCAAATTGATCGAGAAACGGGGAAAGGGAGAATTTCAGATTTCTAGGGTTTTTAGATCTACTATTCATGGAGTTCTAGGAGGATTTGAGGGATGAGATTAGGAGATTTGGAAATAAGAGGAGATAGAGGTTGTTTGGTGAAGATTTGGTGGCGTTTGGAGGTGGACCGCCGCCGTGGGCGATTTTCGGCGGGCCGCGGGAAACAGTGAGGAGAGAAGAGATGATCTGGGAAAGGGTTTGGGGGGGTGGGGTAGCCGGGTCTGACACTTTTAAGGGTTTGAGAGGCGAGTTCCGATCCGTTGGATCAAAAGAGATTAAGGGCCAAGATTGGCCGTGCCCAAACGATGTCGTTTGAGTTAGTAATGGGGCTGGACCAGATAGAAATAGATCTGGGCTGCATCCGAGGTACTTGGGCTGTTAGAGACTGGCCCAATTTGGTGTTCGAAGCAACAATATACCTCTTTTCCTTTTCTTTGTTTCAAATTTCAGATTTAACCAATTGATTTAAAGTCCAAATTTCGAACTAGTTTTGCAAAAATGACCTATTTACTTATCTTATCTAACAAATAATTAATTAACTACGAATTATCAAACTAAAACTAATTTATTAATCAAAATAACTAATGTATTATTATTTATTAATTATTTTTGGTATTTTATCAATGCAATTAACATGCAACTAGATGCTAAAAAATACAATTGAAGTCTAAAAATGCAAAGGATGAAAGCTAAAATATTTTTGTCATTTTATGATTTAAAGTACATCTAAATATGCATGAAAAATGACAAAATAAAATGCAAAACAAATTAACTAAAATATAGAAAATTTTCTAAAATTCTAGTATAAAATAATCAAAGGCTATTTTGGAATATTTTAGGAGCAATTTTCATATCGGGCAAAATTTACGTGCTCACAAGCTTCATTCCACAATATTTGGTACTATTTAAAAACATGAAAAGAAGAGCATAATCGAACTAACTATCAACATCTTAATCCAAAATTTTGACTTATACCCACTCATCACACGCTATGGACAAAAAGTTGGACTAAAATTTTGTGTCTAAGAAAATTTCTTTGCTCTAATTTTATAGTTATGAGAGAGAAAGGAGTTATGGTGAGGATAATTCTTTTGTTCTGATTTGATTGATTGACCTGAATCATACACCATCTATATTGACTTGATTGGCCAAACATATTTGTTTACCCTTAAAATTGGTTAACAATTAAACTTATAGTGTGGCTCTAAGAACAGGTGATTTCACATAATATCAATCAATAAACATGAAGATTAATAACAGAAATGAACTATAAAGTAAAGCAAATCAGTGTTAGAATGGAACTCAGCCCTCGAGTCTGGATACCCTCGAACTGGTTGATGCAAGAACAATTAAAATATAATAAGCTGATGTATATTGTTTTTATCTCTGTGAACTGTGGTCTACAAATGATTAGGACCCCCCTTTATATATTAGAGGAATCCCACATATGGTATAGTTCTAATTACAGAAGGAAATCTCAGTTTCTGATTTGATCTGTTCCGAGATTTACGCCACGATCCTTGACCAGCCACCGAGATTTACGCCGTGATTTTCGACCAGTCACGGATATCTCGCATTTACGTTATTATGCTATCTTCGATCCTGCTCGATATCTGTCTCATTTGGCTTCGATCGCTACTAGTCTCGATCTCGACAGGTACCTCGATTCTGAACTTGGTACCTAGTCCTCGTGATTTAGTCCGTTCCGTTACGAGGCCGCCCTTCGATGCAATCTCCTGGTCTCAGACAAATAGTAAAATCGGTGGGCCTGATTTTAAACGTATACTGCCTCAAAACCATCAAAAAGAATTGGTTGACGAATATTTTGGGAAAAGGCAATAAAAGAAGTTTATTATTGTACACATATGTCTCTTAAGCCAAAACTTTAAGTTGAAATGCAAAGGTTTTTTAATAACATCATACTGTTGGCGCAAATAAGATTAAACCTTACAAAGAGTTATAAATACAAGGGAACCACTTTATATATATGTCTGAAAAACTTTTCAAAACTCGTTGATTTTTCTCAAAATTGTAATAAAAAAAACATGTAAACTTATTATACCCTGACATGACATTTTTACTTTTCACTAGGTTGTTCATCGAATCTTCTGCTAGTAAATCCTATAGACTTTAGAGAAGGCTATCAAATTAAAACTTAAAGAGTATATTGTTAAATGCGAATAAGGACTTTGCGGAGATTGTTTTCCTTAATTTTTCATATGGTATCAAAAAATTTGAAAAAATGACATTGTATAGCCGCTGTAAAAATAATAGCCGAAAATATATAAAATATGTATATTTTTTGTATATATATATACATTATGTATGTTATATACAAAAATTATACAAATTTTATACACTTTTTCGACT